ACTAAACTTTGAATGCAGACTTCTGCGCACCCAGAATTAGCGGTCTATCTATATCAGACAGCCTATACCACAAACACATAAGAGTCTCCATACAGTTTTTAGCGTTAAGTCCTTAAATTTTTAACCCAACTTCAAAAATATTTTTAAACGGGCTTCTAATATTTCTAATATTACAACACTGTCTTTTAGTGTTGAAACACAAATTTTGTCCTGTTTTTCATACCGTTTCAAGAATCGGGTGTCCTGCTAGCCCGCATGTAATTTAAAACACGTGTCTGATGTGAGACGCAATTTAATCTCGACCCTTCCAATTAGGTACTCAACTCGATACTGCCGGAGTTGCGGTTTCAGAAATACTAGACACCATTAAAATCGATTCGCAGTTGGAAGTCTCTCAACACCCATTAATTTCCTCTGTTCGTATCACTAACATGTACCGTACATGTGACTTAGAAACATTGATTTGTGTAAAAGAGGGGCTTCAGGAAGACCTGGAGGAAAGAATGATGCTGCTAGGCATTTTGGAAATGAAAACAAAGATGTTTGTACATAACGAATCATAATTGCAAGGCACAAAAATTACTTTAGGGTGTGTATTTTACGCATTTTATTACGTGGCGATGCACGTGTGAATTCGCATTGAATGTGTCCACACAAAGGACAGAGGCGTTTGTTATGAATTTGTGTTGTTGACTCAATTTGGGGAGGCTGGAATCTATTTGTGAATTCCATGTCGCTCGTCTCAACGAGTTACACGTCACGAAGACGAAATTTGACAGGAGACTATAAACCCTTACTACAGAACATTACAACGGCTTGTAATTTAACTTTCGTTATGGTCTAGCGGTTAGAACGCTGGCCTTGTAATCCTGGGGGGTCTCGGGTTCGATTCCCGGCGGTGCCCGAATTTATAACTTGTGTTGGGTAAGGCCGTGGTCTAGGCAACACGGAGTTTTCCTCCGTGGCATCCCAACAATTACTCCATTCACACACAGAAGAAGGCAATGGCAAACCACTTCTGGATCATCTGCCAAGAACGTATATGAACAGGTCCCAATCCGAGAAAAGGATGGAAGGATCCTGCTCATGAACACTAAATAATAATAATAATAATATTCGACTGGGCATGCAGCATGCACTGGAAAATAAATTAATGATTATAGATTTGCCTCACGCACCCGATACGCCTTCATTGCGTGCTGTTTCAGTAGGGGAAAGATTTACGTTCTCCTGTTTTCTGAACAGAAGCAAAGAACCGTTTGTGTCCATCGGATCTCTGTCACTCGCTTCGGGATGCCTTTGAACACGTTAAATGGTATTTGCAGTGGTGTCTTTGTACATACGCCTGTTGTCAGCGTTCAGAAGAGGTAAAATGGTCTAAAACAGACACTCGACTCTGTACTATTTAACCCAAGTCCCATACGTCGTGAACACACTCCCAGGGAACTTACTTTGAAGTCCGACGCTCGTCTGAGTTGACATTTAAATATTCAGTCCTTACCGCAAAGAAAACACAGCACTTTACCATTACAAAGATCAAATGGTTAACGCTGTTTAAGGACATGATCGGTGTCTACAGTGAGATTCACGCGAAACATATAAATTTACTCTGAATAAAATGCAGAGATACTGAATGTTAAAGTCGCTGGTAAATATAATTACCATTGGGCTTTTAAGAGGTTAGCAGTCATAGTAAGTCAGATCATAGCCACGTGTTAATTCTTGTGACGTGAAGTCTTTAAACCTACACGAAACTCAGTTACAGTTAAAAAAAAACTTTTACAACTGAGTCTTAAAATGTTTTTATTGTGACGACAGCAAATCAAATACTTCTTACAGCGTATGAAATGTCGTGAACGAAAACTTTTCTTAGACTCTGGAGCACATTCTCTAGCTGTAATCAAATACAGTACGAGTGTTTATCGTGACACAGTAAAATTATGTTTACATTAAATTTACAGAATAGACGTTGCTCAAGAGTTTATCTGCTATTTCGTTTGAATCAGCAATTCATATTAATGTTATCCTTAAATTGTTATGCGTTCTTTACGTAATATAAAGTCAGGTAGGGCCGATCTTATGTCCGTCCGTCTGTCAGCACGTTTAAACTCTTTAACCATTCTATAGGGTGTTTACTTTAAAATTAAATTATTTGGTTATTCCGTCAAACCACAATGTATTTAAAATAAGATAATTAAAATAATTAAAATATCATTCTGTGTTCCATATAGAATAATCGATTTTATTCGATATGGAACACAGAATGATATTTTAATTATTTTAATTATCTTATTTTAAATACATTGTGGTTTGACGGAATAACCAAATAATTTAATTTTAATTTAATAAATCACAATATGACGCAACTACACTATCTTAGGGTGTTTACGTCTGTGTAGCCGAAACAAATCTTGCAGCTATTTCCGAAATACATTTTGTTTTTAATACGTGTTACATATATTATATTATATAGTTTTATTTTGATGGATGACTATATATTTTATGGAAGCGTCTTTCGAATGATGTATGAAGATCCTAAAATGGCGGTTTTCTGAAATTATTATTATTATTATTATTAATGAATTGAATTGAATTATTATTTGTTCTTATTGAGATGCAGAGTCGGTAATATAACGACACGTTTTCTGCTAGTAATTAAAATCGTTTAAATAATAGCATAGGAAATCAATTTTTCTCGTTATTCTGAGACACTAGGATGTCGTAGGGTGGCCCGAGGGCTGGAGAGGGTAGGGAACCTCCAATTGTGCATTATTCATGCAACCCACATAGTACAAGTTAACAGTTCTAATAAATGCGGGCCTTCTGGGCCCCCCCCCTCCACCAAAATGCAAATTTATTTATTCCGACCGACTGTTTTTAATTGTGCAGTTATTAAGGGGCCATGAGATTGTAGAGGGGGTGGAGGGTGAGGCGTTCTTTCGAATGTGAGTTCGATTAAGCAGCGGCCAATGTGTTTCCCTTCTCCACTTAATCTAATTGAAAATTGGAGACGGTAAATTACTGAGCTGTAATGTATTTTACCTCCATTTTCAGTAGACGCACTGCGACAGTAATAGCTAGGTATTAACTCTTTTTTTTTTCATCACGCGAGTTTATTCGTGTAGGCAGTTTTAAGCTTTTGTAGTTCTTTATTTTTAGACGCCATGTGCGTCTCCATTTGCAAACTGTTACTATTTTTTTTTCAGAAGCGTCCCGCTGTTTAGACAGTCCCCTGTTAAGGTTTTTTTTTCCTCTGAAATGACGTATGAATTTCTGAACTCACCCATTCATGCTACATATCTCGCTCATCTCATTCTTCTCGATTTTATCACTCTTCAATTTTACGAAGAAGTGTAGTCTGCAAATTATTAAACTTTCAACTATTTCTCTCTGTCCAGTCTTAGTTACGTTCTGCTTTTAATTCTAGATATTATCAGAAATTTGTTCTCGAACTGCTTCAGTGTACTTAAAACAGCGTCATTAAATAACTAATATTCAGTCTCCACATGTGTTGGGCAAGGCCGTGGTCTAGGCAACACGGAGTTTTCCTCCGTGGCATCCCAACAATTACTCCATTCACACACAGAAGAAGGCAATGGCAAACCACTTCTGGATCATCTGCCAAGAACGTATATGAACAGGTCCCAGTCCGAGAAAAGGATGGAAGGATCCTGTTCATATGGACCTGTCGTCAGACAGAACACTAAATAAATAAAATATTCAGTCTCCATTATGTCTGCCAAAGGTAGATAGCAGTAATAGTCTGTTCAGGCGTGGAATAAATCAATCTGCATTGGACCGAATGGCGGAATTTAACTGCAGGCCAGATAAATATCTACGTTAATGAGACAGAAAGTCTTCGTTTAAAAAAAAAAATTCATACGGAACTTTTTTGGTGAAACACCTTTCAAAGCTGCGAGTCGGAAAACCAAAAACGAAATTAGATTATAGCATTAAAAGCTAATCCTGGGGTTGAAAATGAGTCAAACGGTCAGTTTAATCTGTTATTTGCCAAGTGAGTCGTAGGCTCAGTCACTGAGCATTGAGTTCTACGATGTTCCATGCACTGAGCTGAATAAACCTGATAAGAAACAGTAAACTGAATTACTGTGTGATTGCAATCAAATGTTTCATTTTATTCCAATCAGCGTTGGTGGTTTTGTTGGGTAAAAGCCACCCAATCGATGAAGGATTAATTGCAGCTTCAAACATCGCTGTGGTCTGACCACAGAGCCTTCTATTCTGCAATGAAACCTCAGTGTCACGTAACACATAGACCTCTCAGAGGTACGAACCTGACCGACGAACGGTTGTCAGTCTGGAGATCTTGGTATCGTTCCGCAGACGAGCTCCTCCGACGGCTTTTACTGATAATCCTACTTTTCTCCAGGCTGCTCCAGATGCTGGGATAGTTAATTAAATTAGGTTACAATCACATCCTTCCAAATCCTTTTAGATTCATTAATTATTTTGTTATTAAACGCTGTGTCGTTGGTACGCGGTAAGAAGACGTGAAGAGCATTTTAAACGTCGGTGAATTTCTACCAAACTACTCGGCGTAACAACCCAGCAGAAGAAGACCTTCTTCATACTCGTCGCCTTGACAACCTTAAATATTTCTTTCACTTCTTATCTTACGGAAATCCGCTTTAAAGAAAATTTACCAACTTTATTACAGAATACAGTTTCTGTCGGACACATCCAAATTAATATTAAATTCGCCTGTCACGTTTTAGACTTCCCATACCAAATTCAATCGAAATCCTTCCAAGTGGATTGGCTTGTAGGGTAAAGCTACGCGTTTTCGTATCATTTTCCTCGGAGCTGTTCATATAAACTTCACTTAACGAAATAGTATATTTATTAGTTACTAGTTATTATTATTATTATTATTATTATTATTATTATAGTTACTAGTACAAAAGCATCCAAACGTCACGAGCTGTTGAAACCGTATAATACATTTGGGATTTACTAAAGTATTTTGGTATACTCCGCAGGTGAAGACGTCCTGCATACGTCACGGCGAAGTGTGCCCCCACAGTCGATCTCCAGTTGGTCATCACGTTTTCAAGACGTTTCGGAGTGAATTGTAGCCAGTTGTAAAGCTGCCTGGGTGTTCAACTGTAGAAATAAATCTTTCGTTTAGAACAGACGATGAATTCGGCTCTGTTAATCACTAAAATAAAATATTTTTAATATTTTATTCAGTTGTTATGTTGCATTAATCAATATAATTCTATAATTTGTTATTAGGAACGGATTATAAATTCCTCGGCCGTTCTCTAACTTAGGCCGAGGGTTCGTATACAGATTGTATATTCATTGTTAATTCTGTTTGACTGTGGAAAGCGATATAAGCATTTCAGTATTCATATCATCACCCCCAAAACTTCTAGTAAGTTCTCATAGTATATGCGAAGTTTGTCCCTTTCTATTCTATAGTTCATATTTGTTACTTCGCGTCAAAGTTATTGTCTGTGTATGAAAATTTATAGATCTTTATGTACCATCTTTCCGTAATATGTGGCAAGTTAAATAATTCAGCCGTGATTAACGTCTCTTAAAAATTAACTTAAAAATATATTTTATGTATCTTACATTCGCCTAATTGAATCAACAGGAAAGATAATCCATTCCTTAATACTAAAGTATTTGTTAAAGCAAATTCGGATACTAAAATTCATCTAAACAAAGTAATATTTTTGTTGTTACTAGCAGATAATATTATTGTTAAATTACGTAATCCTAAAGACCTTCAGATGCAGACGAAATTCTTTTGTATCGATTTAATTTGAATCTCTGTAATTTAGGTTCTCGTAATTTGTAATTTTGATTTTTAAAGTTTTATAAAAAAATTCTTCTTTCATACAATTTTACTTTCATTCGCGTATTAATATTTAAGGAACTGCCACAAAAACAATTGTGTTCATTTCTGCAGTAATAAATAAACTTTGATGTGATTCACGTAATTTTTGTTTGTGGGATAACTCACTGGCTACATTTAAACTAACGAAATTGACAGAAAACGAAGTCAAAATTTCACGCTGACATCTTCATATAATGACAACAGAAATTTGTTACTAAGCTAAGATTAATTCGCGATTCTCTTTCGTATGTGTAAAAACATAAGAAGAAACTAAGTGCGTTATATATTATTCTATTCTATTTGTTTTGAATTTCGATACGTAGTTTTCCAGTAGGCGTTGCTTAAAACATCAAACTACGTTTCCCGACGTTATTTTGTTCCGGCTGTGTCGAAAACGAGGGCTGTGGGAGCGACAGTCTTGTGTTACGTCATTTCAATACTCAGTCGGAATTGGGGGCACAGTGAGAAGACACGATGGGCACCCCCACGCCTCCTCCCCGGGGGAATGGCAGCCCGTGATGTACGGAATGGTGAGCAGTCACGCGGGGAAGCACGAACAGCAAAACCAGGGCGGCACGAGCAAGGTGTCCCGGTCGCTGTACCGGAGGGTTGTCAACTACGTCAAGCAGGCGTGGACCGGAGTGAAGTTTGCCCTAGGTAACAAACCACTCGCCATTTCAAGCCTTTTTTTTTACCATAAAGTGACTCGGAATTTGAGGCTCTTAGTCGAGGGTGGTCATACGGGTTTTGACTTGTAGTTGGGCACCAGTGTTTCGGAGGAACATTAGGCTGACATATACAAAACTGAAGATGGAGACAGTAGGCTCATCATATAAGTCCAACCGAGAAGACCACTATCGACAGTGCAATATATCGATCTCTGACTCCAATGAAATTCTTTTTATAGTTCATGGACAAACTTACGTCTGCACACCCAAAAATTACCGCTGACTGCCTAGAAATCATATTTGCTGTCTTAATTTGTAATTTATTGGTACATCTCATAAAATTTCAAGAATAAATCCCGTGTGCTAGTTAGATTCTTAAAACCTGAGTGTGTAAGTGAGGGATTTTGAATGAACCGGACACCTGTTTTGAGTGGACAGTATGATTGGTCTGAAAGAACCAGTCGGGTGTCTGTCCATCGCGGTCAGACAGAATCTGCGACGCGGTAAAGAGTGCCACGTCCGGCCACTGTCACAGGGCATCAGTTCGTTTTCCAATACGTGCCCTGAATAAAAAGTTACGATCATTTTAAAATTTTTACTATGATTTTGACCACCCTGTATAACATGGTGACAATATCAGTGTTTGATTCTTTCATGATGACAGACTCGGAGTTTGATGACCTAGAGACCCCTCCGCGCTATCGTCCAGACAGCCTGGAGTCCCTGTGCAGGGCGACGAGGTTCACCGAGGCGGAGCTGAAAAGAATCTACCGAGGCTTCAAGGCGGAGTGCCCCACGGGTGTCGTTCGTGAGGACACGTTCAAGGGCATTTATTCCCAGTTCTTTCCACAAGGAGGTGAGCACAGATGTTGAACTAGAAGTGAGATTTCAGGTTCTCACGGCGGCTACCATGAAGATGGTTGCCTTCTACGCTGTAATCTGTCAGACGTTTACCATAGTTGAAGATATCTGTCTTCTGGGTTATTGCGCTGTGTAGTCTGGTCGATGTTAACCAACGTTTCAGAGGTCATACTGCCTCCGTCATCAGGGCGATCTCCCTGATGACGGAGGCAGTATGACCTCTGAAACGTTGGCTAACATCGACCAGACTACACAGCGCCACAACCCAGAAGACAGAAATCTTCATCGCCCTGATGATGGAGGCAGTATGACCTCTGAAACGTTGGCTAACATCGACCAGACTACACAGCGCCACAACCCAGAAGACAGAAATCTTCATCGCCCTGATGATGGAGGCAGTATGACCTCTGAAACGTTGGCTAACATCGACCAGACTACACAGCGCCACAACCCAGAAGACAGAAATCTTCATCGCCCTGATGATGGAGGCAGTATGACCTCTGAAACGTTGGCTAACATCGACCAGACTACACAGCGCCACAACCCAGAAGACAGAAATCTTCATCGCCCTGATGATGGAGGCAGTATGACCTCTGAAACGTTGGCTAACATCGACCAGACTACACAGCGCCACAACCCAGAAGACAGAAATCTTCATCGCCCTGATGATGGAGGCAGTATGACCTCTGAAACGTTGGCTAACATCGACCAGACTACACAGCGCAATAACCCAGGAGACGGATATCTTCATATTCACCGCTGTGAGAACCTCAAGTCTTACCATAGTTGTCGACACTCATGGTGTTTCTGTCATAAGGACAAAAGGTAAATCAGAATGTGGCTCCTTTCTTGGATGTTTCGCCGTGTTTTCTGCTAGAAATTGACCGAAATTTCAGATTTGCTTACTGCCTTCATCCTCAGGGCGGTGAGGCAACTGTATGTATGATAAATCCGATAATCTTGCCCAAAGAAAGCGTGAGATAGAGGAGCGCTCGTCGTCCTGATGATGGAGACGGTAAAGTAATCTGAAAAGTCGTCTTTGTACGCCTTCCGTCAAAACCTGTCATCTCAGCGCAAAATCAAATGAGCATCAAATGTTCTGTGTATGTGTGGAAGCTATTTTGACTCAAAGTAGAGGCCGAATTGTTACCACTTTTGTTTCTGATTTGTGAACTTCGTGTTCTTATTTAGGCTCCCTCTGCTTAAAACTTAGAATAGAACCATATAAACTGGCCACGACCACTTCCTTCGTAATTCATCTGTTTCAGCTTCAGAAATAAAATATTGTCGAGTGAGATGGACACGTGGAAATAAATTATTTAACACATAGGAATTTGGAAGGAGTCGTTCGTGGACTGTTAACAAGTAAGTGTAGGAACTTTTGCCGGGAGAGACTGTGAAAAACAAGGACCAATCTTAGTCTGGACAGCAGTTGAACTCAAATATATTTTGGTTGGGTGTAAGCGTGCGGGATAGACTCGTCCCAACCTCTGGATGAGAGAATTTCTGATTGTGACTCAAGCGTTAATTGAGTCGTCTGTTGTTCGTGGATGTCAGATTGAGAACTATGACGTCATCACCAGTGTATCAGTGTCCTATTTTCGCCTGGATGCACACAGACCAAAGTGACAGCAATACGCAGGCGCGTCAGGATGTCCTCAGTGGAGCAATATCAGTCCTGCCACAAATTCCATTACATCACGGTAGATGGCAGTGATGAAATGAAGACTCCCCGGAGTGACGTAATGGTTGAGCTTTACAATCTAATCATACATTTCGCTAAGCCCTCACGCAGACTGCTGATTCTTCCTGTTTAATTTCAACTGAGTAACATCGCGTACTGCAGAACGACCCTCGATTCGTTTAATAAAATTAAGAACGCTCGCATTGCTCTTGGCTCGGCCAATTAAATATTTCATCTTGTCTTCACAAAATTCTCTCAGCTGCTACAAATCAAAGTAAATGAGTCTGTCCGTCCGTCCGTCCGTTCACGCAGTTTGTACCAAGTGCTCGACCAAACGCGACGAGAATGTTGACTGCCCCGTGTTTCCGGCATGAGGAAGCTCTCGTTGAAAGACGATTTCAGGGTTTCACGATGCTGGTGTTGACTCTGTCTGTGGTCGACACGGACTACGTCGTCGACTTCTCGGAGAAACCTGTTTCCGTCTTCAGGGCGAAGTACCATTCAGACTGTGTCAAAAGTTGAGATTTATCTGAAAGAAGCGATCAGTTAAGGATGCCAAAATGCGAAGACCTTAATATGAAATCGTCTTCAATTCAAATTATTCATAAGGACAAACGCAACACCCGGTATAGTAAAGTAAGTAAAGTAAAGTTTGTCCCACTATACGCCATGTAGGCGTTTGGGGGGGGGTGGAGGTATAGATCCTCTCTTCCTTGACCTCGGCACTAGATGGGGGTGAGTGGTCAACATCACGCCCCGGCCGGCTTTACCCCCGGGGAAAGGACCCCGGTACCCATTGTAGAGGAGGCTGGGTGGGCCCCAGAGCCGGTCTGGACGCAGAGGCTAGAGGAAAAATTCTCTGCCCCCGTCGGGGATCGAACCCCGTAGCTAGTCACTATACTGACTGAGCTATCCCGGCTCATACTACCAAAATGTAGTAATTTTATAATATTTACACGATGGACAAAGTCTAAAAGAACAGTAAAAATAGGATTTCTGCAGTAGACGCTGGACAGTTTATGACATTCGTCCGTGTTGCATTAAACCTCTGGGAACAGCATTAATGGATCCATCTGCGTCCTACGGGTCCCACATTAACAACCCAGAAATACAACACTGTTTGAATATCCATTGTTCTGATCTTTAGCAGTGTGCATTATCGTAAATTTTGTTGAGTGGTATAAGAAACAAAAGGATTTTGTGTCGACTCCAGCTGTGTGAACGTGTCTGTGATACAAACTTCATCAACTCAATATTAAACTGTTTGGTTTCATAATAGGACAGGAATTTCTTGATCAGTTGAACGACTGTTAGCTTCTCAAGAAGGCCTGTTCCACGAGAGTCTATGTTTGAGTCACATCTTGCAATCTGATGTCTCGAAAATCGATTTAATATTATAATTTCTTTAGATTTTCAGACCAGTATTTTGTACACATTTCTAATTTTTCCCATCTCGTCTTTCTTAACGAGCGTTAACCATTGATACTTGTAATGGTGAATTGTGGTGTTTTCTTTGCGGTAGGGTCTGAATTCTTAAATACCGTTTATATTAACTTCGTTCTTCAAAGGGTTGAGCTCAAATCACATATACTGGTGTCTCTGAACGGAACGGTGCACCGACATTACATGAAAATTGAAAAGTTTTGTGGTCCTGAGCGGCTGACTAGAATATTGATGCTGTCTCTGGAGACAGCACTGGCATATTGACAAGACATCCCACTGGACAGGGGGAATGTCGAAGCGTTCTGTGCAGTCCGACTCATTTCATCGTCCCTTGAACTGCTGAATTTCTGCTTGTGATGATTACCATAATTTTACCTACAGTTTTGTATTGCTGTAAAATCCTCTTATCCTAAAGAAAGAGCACAGACTTTGTTTGAGAACAGCGTACTGAGGAATTTTTATTTTATTTAGTGTTCTGTCTGACGACAGGTCCATATGAACAGGATCCTTCCATCCTCTTCTCGGACTGGGACCTGTTCATATACGTTCTTGGCAGATGATCCAGAAGTGGTTTGCCATTGCCTTCTTCTGTGTGTGAATGGAGTAATTGTTGGGATGCCACGGAGGAAAACTCCGTGTTGCCTAGACCACGGCCTTGCCCAACACAAGTTATAAATTCGGGCACCGCCGGGAATCGAACCCGAGACCCCAGGATTACAAGGCCAGCGTTCTAACCGCTAGACGACATAGGAATATATGCAGTTTTATATACCCACTGCCACTTCACGCCTTTTAAGTTTAAATATTATCCTCAGGCACCCTAAATCTGTGTCATTTATGTCAGAGATCAGATTTCACATCCATACAGAACAGCGAGTATAATTATAGTTTTTATCTTTTAATATTTGTATTTTTAGATAGAAGATGGAAAAGTTTTGAGCTGGGTGTTTGGAAACATTTCCAGAATTTAGTATATTCTCGTTGTTATATGTAGGTTACTTCATGGATCACAAGGAATAATTATGAATTAATGTGGTATCGTCTTTTTTGACGTAAATACGTCTATATTTTAGGGTCAGTGTCATTCCGCAAAAGAGTGTAAGATGGTTACCTACGAAACGTCGTGTTTACTCGGAATTGTTGTTACCTAGGAAACGTTACGTTACATTCAGCTACCACAGTCCCATCTTAAGCGTAACTAATTCAAGTTAAATAAGCAATGTCTTAATCAAACTTATCTCAATCGTAAAGCATGTATAAAGGAAATATTTAGAATAAAGCCAATATATAAACGTCCTTCCCGTATAGACGTATTTACGTCAAATTCTCCGGAACCGTGGTTCAACTGACAACTTTTTTATTCTTGATAAGAACTTCTGGATTAATCACAATTAGAAGCAACTTCTCCTCAAACAAATGTTATTAAATCATATGCACTCCAAACTTGTTATAGACGTTTGCATAATTTTTCCCTGTTCATAGCATCAAAATCTCGATGCCTGTGCTCTGATTCGTTACCCAGCCAGTGAACAACAAACAATCTTTGCCTGTTCCAGCCAACGCGAATCTGTATGCCCATTACGTATTCAACACTCTGGACCAAGACCACAGCGGGCTGCTGAGCTTCGAGGTAAGCGACCCACAATCTCCACAGCCTAACACTTAACCTCTTATGTTAATTATATATCTTGTGTGCGCGAAGGTAACGCGTTATATCCTTCGAAAAATACTGAACGCATTTAGATTAAATTTTGTATTCGGGGAGATGCTACACCAATATTTGTTGGGATAAATTGTTGTTCCTACCGGATCAATATAACTCACACTTGAAGCTCAGATAGAACACCTGTCAATTTCCTCAAAATTTGCTCGTTCTACAAAAAAAAGAATTTGTACGTCAACATTTATTTGGAATAATTTCCGTTGCACGTACAATATTAAACAAAAAAAAAACGAAATCAGAAACAGTTTCACCCCGTGTAATGGACTCTCCAATCCCCCTCCACCTCGACAAGGCCTCCCTGGTTGCTAGGCAACCGACCTAACCACCAATGTCTTGTATTCGTACCGCGTTTGGATGTTTTCACGATCCATTCTCTGTTCATTGTAAATATTAGGACGGAAAGGAGCAGATGTCCTCATGAGATCTTGGTTTGTGTCGTAGGACTTCGTACAGGGTTTGTCCATTCTGTCGCGAGGTTCCCTGGATGAGAAGTTACGTTGGGCTTTCTCACTCTATGACATCAATGGTGACGGACGTATCACTCGCAGTGAGATGACAGACATCGTCACGGCCGTGTATGAGCTGATGGGAAAGTTCACAGAGCCGTGTGTCGACGAGACCACAGTGCGGGACAAGGTGGATTGCATCTTCCAGGTACCAGCCCTTTCAGCTCTCGGGGACTACCACAAAGACTGGAGCCGATGACATTTATTGTGGTTAAAACCGGGCAACTTAACATTAAGACCTTCTTGAGTTTTTGTGTTCATACGGAACAAACTCGTTAAATATTTATAGGAGTGAAAAATATTTTGGTTGGGTTAGGTTAGGTTTGGGGGGGGGGAAATGAAACATTTTTATGAACAACACAGCTGTTCTTTAAGTCGAGATAATTAAACAAAATTTACTTATGTTTTATATCTCCTCATTATATATAGTAATTTGTATACATTTCAGTAACATTTAGGGTTAGAACGCTGGCCTTGTAATCCTGGGGTCCCGGGTTCGATCCCCGGCGGTGCCCGAATTTATAACTTGTGTTGGGCAAGGCCGTCGTCTAGGCAACACGGAGTTTTCCTCCGTGGCATCCCAACAATTACTCCATTCACACACAGAAGAAGGCAATGGCAAACCACTTCTGGATCATCTGCCAAGAAAGTATATGAACAGGTCCCAGTCCGAGAAAAGGATGGAAGGATCCTGTTCATACGGACCTGTC